TATTGTTGCCAACCTGTACATGGAGGAGGTAGAAAAGAGAGCCTTGACGTCCTTTTCAGGGACACCACCAAGTCATTGGTTCAGGTATGTTGACGACACCTGGGTTAAAATTAAATCTCAGGAAGTCCAACATTTTACTGACCACATCAACTCTGTGGATAAATACATCAAGTTCACGCGAGAAGATGAAAAAAATGGCAAGTTGGCTTTCTTGGACTGTGAGGTCTCAGTCTCTGATAGAGAACATTTGCAAACTGAGGTGTACCGCAAACCCACCCACACAGACCAGTATTTGCAGTTTGACTCCCATCACCCTTTGGAGCACAAGTTAGGAGTCATCAGGACTCTGTATCACAGAGCAGACAGTGTCCCCACTAGCTCAGGAGCCAGGCAGAAGGAGAAATCCCACACAAGACAGGCTCTAGAGCAATGTGGATATCCTAACTGGGCCTTCCTAAAAGCAGAGAAGAAACCCAAACAGGACTCCAGTCAGCCAACAGGTGAAAAGGAGGAACCCAGACCAGTGGTCATTCCATATGTTGAGGGAGTATCAGAGAAACTGAGACGTTTATTTTCTAAACATAACGTCCCAGTAGCTTTTAAACCCCAAAATACATTACGGCAAAGACTGGTTCATCCCAAAGATCCAGTCCCCCGGCACAAACAGAGTAATGTTGTGTATGCTGTTCAGTGTCAGGAGGGCTGTGATCAGTCTTACATCGGGGAAACAAAACAGCCACTGGCCAAAAGGATGGCCCAGCACAGAAGATCAACATCATCAGGCCAGGACTCTGCGGTCTACACTCATCTCCAGGCCAGCGGTCACTCTTTCAGGGATGAAGATGTGCACATCCTGGATAGAGAGGAACGATGGTTTGAGAGAGGAGTAAAGGATGCCATCCTTGTGAAAAGAAACCGTCCATCATTAAACAGGGGTGGAGGCCTACGTGTTCAATTGTCCCCCTCTTACAATGCTGTGATTGCTAGTATCACTCAGCCCTCTGAATAGTAAACAGCCATCAGTGTGCTAATGATCCATTGTTAGGCTGATGGTCCTTCTTGAGCATGTGATCAGCTGGTTTTGGTTGTCAGCAGCAAAACTGGTTGATCCACTCTGAGAAGGTGCTATTTAAGAGACTGAGCTGAAAACAGCACCTCAGACTGAAGAAGTCTCTCGGACGAGAGACGAAACGTTTCTACATTTTTTGTTGTTTTGCTTTGTTTTGGTTTTTTTTGAATGTCCAGAGGACCAGATTTAACTTTTTTAGATATGCTTCATAAGCATTTACACAATAAAAATCATAGAAAACTACATAAATACAAATAACAAAATGCTAACAGGTATTACATCTTAGTTTATCTTAACTATTTGATTATTTTAGGAAAATTTATCTTATTTTTCATATTAATTCATGTTGTTCTCATTAAGAAAAAATCTATTTCTACAGAAAATTAAAACTTTGGATAATTTGAGAAACTAAACTTTTTTTTAACATATTCTTGTTAAATATCAAATTTAAAGGATTTAGAAATATTTAATTTAGTTATTATGCACACTTTATTCCTAATATTGTTTAGATTTTTTTTTTCTTGTGCCTTGAAGGTAAAAGGACTTCATTTAACAACAGTGTCTAGTCTAAACAATATATATTGCTAAACATTATTATAATTTTTCTGTGAATTAAAAATAACACTATTTACTGGCAATAAAGTAGCAAACTAACAGGAATTGAAAATTAACAGTAACATTATGTCAGCAGTAATATCTTTATGAATTTTATATTCAGCTAATTTGATGCTAAAAGGAATGATCTTTGTTTGGTATTTTATTTCTGTTATCTTTGTCGAATCATTGTCAGAGATTTTTTTGTGTGTGTTTCTGTTCATATTGTTATCAAAACCATAGCAGGAGCAGTAATTTAATTGCTTTGTTTCTCCAAGTCTCAGTTCTTGGGCTTTTGTCACACCTCCGTGTGAATTTTGATCTGCACACCCTGCTGTTTGGGGAGAGTGTCCTTAATGATGCCGTGGCCATCGTCTTGACACAGTGAGTATCTTGTTTTACTCGCCTCGGTCCTCAGAACGCAGTCAATTTCTTGGTTTAATTGTGTGGGCACACAGTATTCTCCAACTGGCAGTATGGAGGCGGATATGTGGGGGACGGCAGGCTGAATGGAAGCTGCCATCTTTAAAGAAAAGGTGCGATTGGCAAAACAGCATGAGTGCCTTTGGATGCTATGCAATGGACTACATGTGTAAGTTGCCTCCAGCACTGTCCGCATCTCATTAAGGTAGTCAGTGGAGAGACTCGCTGCTAGAGTAGATACACTCCAATTATATCAAACTTGGCTAACTAACAGTAGCTACTGTCAAAACCAGGAAAAATAATGCATAAAAACTTTGAAAGATCACTGAATTATCAAATATGAAGTTATTCTTTTGTGCTTTTCATTTGCTTCATTCTTTTGGCTCGATTTATCCTGATATTATCCAGATATACTGTAAAATATGCACGCACACACTTGGTAGTAATTGTCTGCTTTCTTTACACAAATCCTCTGAACAAAGTCCAACGGATTTCAAGATGAAGGCAGACACATCTCACGTCTTCGTAGTTATGGGGAGAGAAAGAAGCAAAGAAGACTGCTAGAGAAATGATGGGAATAAACCTGCATCTCTGATGTCTGACATATCCAGAGTACCGTATGTCAACATGTTTAGAGTTTTGAAGGAAGCGTGCAGATTCACAGACTACATCTTTTTAACAAACAGCCAGATAGTGCTATGTCTGTTCCTGAAGTGGCGTGACCAGCCATCTCCTGTCACTTGACTGGGTCTGTGGCCCACCAGTCGCCAAGGCCCCCGCACACAAAGCCATGCCTTATTAGTGAGCCATGCAGAGTCCTGGCACTGGAATTTTAACAAGCTTCCCAAAGCAGCTCAACCTTACGTTGATGTGCCTTTCCCCAGTCACCAAACCTCCTGCTCCAGCCGCCCTGACCCAATAAGCATGTTAACATCTTGGGAAGATGGAAGATCAGCAGTAGCTTCAAACACCTGAACAATCTTTAGACATTTGCACTGATCATGCTGTTAAGTGTGCTAACACATGTGGAGTCTAGTTCTACAGAGGGACTGGTAGATTTTCACCATTCTCAGTAAGAATGCATAATATTATCGGCATGGTATCGTATCGGCCGATATTGGCGATAGAGTAAAATATCGGGCATCAGCCATTCCATCAAAATAACACAGATTATATAATGTATACGTGTGTGTGTGTATGTATGTATATATGTATAATATATATATATATATATATATATATATATATATATATATATATATAAAAGCACTGTTTTTGTATGACAACCCAGTGACAAGGATTCCTGCAGCGCCAGCACAATGTTATGGTGTAACATGTGCTGTTGAGTTTTGAAGTGTGAATATTTACAAATTTGCACAGTTCGAGTTTTGTCATTGTGTTAGAGAGAGTAAATGTCATGAATATTATTCACATTTAACATAATCCAAGTTCAAGTGTTACACCATTTTCAGCCCCCTTTTTAGCATCTGCATTTGGTAGCAGGCCAAATTGACAAAGACCATGCAGAATAATGTAGTATTTTAATCCCACAGCAGAGAAAGATATGTAGTCTCTGTAAGTAGTTGTAGGGAAAAAAGTATTAGTATCGGTTATCGGCCAAATAAGTTTTAACATGTTGGCATATCAGGTATCGGTCAAAAATCCAAATTGTTCATTCCTAATTTTCATTTTGCTTAGCTCAGTGACATTTGTTGATTTTCCTCTTCCTGTGTCTGAGGCTAAAATAAGTTGTGAAATGTGCTGCTTGTGCTTTTAAACTGGACAACACACAAACGTGGAAATATGCACATTTAATATTTAAAGGACCTCTGTGGGGAAATTCTGCTTATGCTTTCTGGCTGAGGCAGCATTTTGTAAGTTTTGGCCCTAATCTGATTAGGTGTGTTGTTCTGGTTTCATTCTGAAATACTGTTTTCCATAAAAATGCAGGGGGGGTCATTAGAAACTGCTTCCATACTGTTTTTACTGACAGTGGTTTGATATTCATTCAAAGGAGACAAAGCCCAATGGTAGAGCACAAAATGATGGTTAGAAAACAGTTATTTCACAGAATCAGTTGCTTGTGTTGGTGCTTGTTTGTACATGCCTCACAGCCATCAGCTACTTTTAGAATTTCTTCCTGCTTTTTCTTCGAGGTTTATTTTTGCACTCAGTGATGCGTGTGTTGAAGTCTCCCCTCCTTCTTCACAATAAATATTTATAGCATAAGTCAACCAATGCTGCTATATGCAATAGTATTTTTCTTTCATTTTTACTTAGGTGCTCTGATGTGCGTATGAGGCAAATAATTCCGAATATATTGTTTTCCTGTGGTTTTAGTTCTTAAGAAAGCTGTGTGTGACTCCAATAGTTGGACTGAGGACTTAGCTCAGTATATAAACCAGATGAATGTATGTCCTCTAAAGCTAGTGGGTCTTTTTTTTCTGATGACTGCATTTGATTCAGAGTCATAAACAACTCTGTGAATTTAAAACAGTCATAACTATTT